CCCTTCAACACCTCGTGATCACACAGGCTGGTGTGCTTCTTCCGTGTGGACTTTGTTGCTTCTGCCACTCGTTGATCTTCAAGCCTTTAAGACCCCAGACGCTATATCTTTTGATAGCCGGGCACCATCAGCTTTCTTCACCACATTTGCCTATGCACCCACTTTGTCTTTGGCGATTGTGTAGAGAAGGCTGTGCTTCACCTTTAGTGATGGCAGAAGATGGCTCCAATGTGGGCTGGATGGCACTTGGAATCCAACCTGGGTAGGGGAGCACTGCAGAAGGAAGTCATTTGCTGAAAAACCAGCCGTTGGAACCTGCTCTATACATACTTCCCTTGAGTCAGAATGTGCTCCAGGGCATTTTTTTAAGAATGAAAAACTGGTTCTAGCTCTGAAGAATTCAAACCATGTCCTGGCCTCAAGGAAAGCTGAATTGTTAAGGAGATACCTGCAAACAAACAAACAAACAAACAAAATCAAAACAACCTGCAAGGACCCTAATGGGCTGTTAAAAACTAACTTTAATGTCAGGTAGAGATGATGCTAAAATGATAATAAAGGGAAGGAGACATGGAAGATGCTGTGAGTCAAGTTAGAAAAATGGGGTGTTGAGGTGGGGGTGAGGGAGGTAAAGGATGACTTTTGACCCTCAAGAACACAAGTGAAGGTGCCTTTCAATGGGTTAATGTCGAGTCTAGAGCTGCAACAGGCTGGGTGCTTTAAAAAGTATCAAGAGAGATATCAGTGGTTGCATAGCACAAAGAGTTTAATCCATGGCACTTTATTATCCACATAGAAGTTGTGACACTGGAAGATGTTTTGTTGCGGATAGTTTTGGCACAATTGAAAACAGTAACTACACAACTAGCAATGAGTACAAGGAAGAACGTGGTTCAAAAATTGACTCTGGTGAGGATTGTACAACTCTTCTTGATGTGATTGAACGGTTGAGTTGTATGCTCATTTGTTTGAAGTAAGGGGAATAGTTCATTTGGTGTTCATATCACCAGGTCAGACTGTTAATCAAGCTTTCTATTTAGAGGTTCTAAAAAGATTTCATAACAGTGTTTGATCAAAAAAGGCCCTATTTGTGGCAGACGGGGAACTGATTTTTTTTTTCTTTAACATTTTATTAGGGGCTCATACAACTGTTATCCCAATCCATACACACATCAATTGTGTAAAGCGCATTTGTACATCGTTTCTCAAAACATTT